CTCCTCCGCCCCGCCCCAGTGTGGGCAGCCTTTGTTCATCAAGGTCTCAGAGACATTCCGGCCACAGGCAGCGGAGTTTACCTTATCTCTGTGATCCTCCCTAGGGCACTTGGCCTGCAGCTCCACGCCCTCTCCTTCCCCCTCTCCCAGAGATCTGACCTCCCTCCCGCCTCCGGCTCCCCTTCCCTCGGGTCCCCGCCCCCACTGGGACCTCTCTCCACCTGTCCCTTCAACTGCCATTTGCATGCCTGGGACAAGTTGCTGTCACCAGCCTGGGGATATTTCTCCAGAGCAATCCCCTCACGTTCATCCCCTGACCACCCAGGAATCTGGACAGTCCACTGTCCAAACCCGCCCTGTCCACATAGGAGGAGCTCAGCATGGCTGTCCCCTCCTCCTAAAATGTTTTCTTTTGAAATATCGTACTTACAGAAAAGCTGCAAGAATAGTACAAAGAACTCCCCTACCCACTTTACCAAGTCATTTATTTTTTAACATTTGCCTCATTTGCTTTCTCCTCTCTCTGTTGTCTCTATTACACACACACACACACACACACACACACACACACACACACAGTTTCTTTTATGAAACCATTTGGAAGTAGGTTACATCATAGTCCTTAACCTTAACCTCAGTGTGTTATTTCCTGAAAATAAGGATATCCTTCTATAATTATCAAATTCAGGAAATTTAACATCAAGACAATATTTTAACCTAATCAATAGTTTATATTTCCACTTGGTCAGTTGTCCCCAAATGTCCTATCTAGCACTTTTTGTTTGGTCCCAGATCCCATCCAGGATTACATATTTCATTTACTTGTCATGTCTCTTGAGTCTCCTTAATCTGAACAGTTCCTTAGCCTCTTGGTTGTGTATGACACTGACATGTGTGAAGAATCTAGGCCGGTAATTTTATATAGTTCCTCAGTACAGATACTTCCTTTCATCCTGCATTTTTTTGCTCTAAGTGTCAAGGGTCTACCCAGTTCCTCAGGTTAGGAACCTAGGTCCCTCCCTCCCTCCCTCCCGCCCAGCCCTCATCAGGTCCTCATGCCCACTGCCCTTCTCTTCAATGCCCTCATCATTCCTCACCAACCAGCCATCCTCCACCCTGCCATCAGCGACTGTACTGCTTCACACAAGCTGGCTGTTTAAAGTGTGGTCCAAGGACCTGCAGCAACAGGAGCTTGTTGGAAATGCAGAATATCAGGCCCCAGCCCTACAGAATCAGAACCTGCATTTTTAAAAAAATTTATTTATTTTTGGCTGCGTTGGGTCTTCGTTGCTGTGTGCAGGCTTTCTCTAATTGCAGAGAGCGGGGTCTACCCTTCGTTGCAGTGCGAGGGCTTCTCATCATGGTGGCTTCTCTCGTTGCGGAGCACGGGCTCTAGGCACGCAAGCTTCAGTAGTTGCGGCACGTTGGCTCTAGAGCACAGGCTCAGTAGTTGTGGCGCACGGGCTTAGTTGCTCCACGGCATGTGGGATCTTCCCGGACCAGGGCTCGAACCCGTGTCCCCTGCATTGGCAGGCGGATTCTTAACCACTGTGCCACCAGGGAAGTCCAGAACCTGCATTTTAACATGTTCCCCAAGTGTTTCTTCTGCTAAGTCTGAGAAGTCCTGCTCTCGGAGATCCCTGAAGCAGACCCCTCAGCTCCATATTGAAGGAGTGTCCCTCTCTACCACCCCTGACCCCCAAACTTCATTCTTACCTCACCTACGTTCATGAGGGTATGCTGTCACCTTTGTACCATTTAGTCCTTCTTCCAGGAATGCCCTCTCTCTCCTGAGACTTCTACTCGAGATTAGGCTTAATGGTCACTTCTGTGGTGTGCTTCCTGCCACTCCTCCTGGGCACCATTTCCTTTGAACCTGCCTCTTGTCCTAGCTTCAGTTACATACAAGTGTTACTCCCAAGGGCTCCTGATCTTTAAGGAGTTCCTCCTCCCATTAGTTGGTGAGCTCCTTGAGGGAAAACCTGCATCTCACACACCTCCTTATCTACAGTGCCTAGAACAATTCGAACGTCTGTTGAATGGGCACGTAAAAAACCAGCTCTTCTTCCACAGAGGTACTTCTTCCCAGTAGATCCTGAAGTGGGTACTGGGGTATCCAAAGGGCCATCCAAATACCTGAGCCACAGAATGTTGGGACAGGGGTGGCCACAGGGAAACATCTACTTCAAATGCCCTTTGTGATCCATGAGAAAAGGCCCCAGAGAAGGAGAGGTGGCTTACTTGCAGTTTCGTCCCCTGGAGTGGTTGGCCCAGCGAGTCACTATTGACCCATGTTTTGACCTTCCTGGAGCAAAGTGCCCTCATGTGGTTTAGTGTGAGAAGCAGAGTAGTAAAAACCAGAGTTGCAGATGAATGCGCACAAAATGCAGAGACTTATGTAGAAGTTTTAAACATGAAAAACTATTCTGTATCTTCTTGCTTAGGAAACAGTCATGCCAGTGAAGGATAATGGTTACCTTGAGGAGGATGCAGGAAGACTGGAGGGTTTATAACCAAGCTGGGGTAGGCAGGGGGCTTCAGCCATGCTGTTTACTCTTAAGCTGTGTGCGGAATATGAGTGTTGAATTATTTTTTATACAACCTTATGTCCTTTAAAAATTCTGATCTGAACCAAGGGATCATGCCTTGCACACAGTTGTCCTCAAATTTTTAAATGAGTTTTCTTGCTGAAGGTTTTCAGTTAACCAGCCCTCAACCTTGTGGGTGCCCATTAATTTTTTTTTTTTTTTAATAGTAAATGTAAACTTTCTGCATGGCAGGCTTCCAGCTCTAACAAGCAAGGTTCAGAGGGTGGGTGCATTCTGGAAAACAGAATACCACCCTGTTATTGGAGCTTAAGATGAACACAAATAAGGCTGGGGTTATATCTTAGCACATGGGCTAGAGTTCAGGTTTCATTTTATAGGCAAAGAAACACTAAATTCTCAAGGAAGAATGGTTTGAATGAATTATTCATTTTAGCAAGGTGACTGTGGCAACAACAGGCCAGAGAGGAGACCAGCTAGCTTTGGCAACAATCCAGAAGTATTACCTGCTCAAAATAAATTTATTTTAATTTTTTTTGGCCATACCGTAGATTGCAGGATCTTAGTTCTCCAACCAGGGATCGTACCTCTGCCCCCTGCAGTGGAAATGCAGAGTCCTAACCACTGGACTACCAGGGAATTCCCTCAAAGTAAATTTAAAAAGCAAAATGGGGTGAGGTGAAGAGAAACAAGACTTGCTCTGAGTAGATGTTGAAGCTGTGTGATGCGCAGAAAAGGGGCTTCTTATTCTACTTTTATGTTTGAAATTCCTCATGATTAAAAAAGGTAGTGGGGCTTCCCTGGTGGCGCAGTGGTTGAGAGTCCGCCTGCCGATGCAGGGGACACGGGTTCGTGCCCTGGTCTGGGAAGATCCCACATGCCGCGGAGCAGCTGGGCCCGTGAGCTGTGGCCGCTGAGCCTGCGCGTCCGGAGCCTGTGCTCCGCAACGGGAGAGGCCACAACAGTGAGAGGCCCGCGTAACAAAAAAAAAAAAAAAAAAAAAAAAAAGGTACTGATCTTGTAGAAGTCATAAATATACACTGACGTGACAAATGAAAAAACCCTAATTACAAGAAAGGATAGTTGGTTTTGGTATAAAGTTTTTCATAAATGAATTAGAAAAGTACTGTATCACCTCAAATATATGATACAGAAATAGCCCATGATACAGAAATAGATGTTGAAGAGTTTAAATAATTCATTCTGAAAGATTGAGAAAAAGCAGCATATCTAAATTAACATTTATATACTTTTAAATGTGTACAAATAATATATTTATAGCTATAGTAGATATTTAGCTATTTCTGCCATGAACTTAGTTTGTGGTCTAACTAATCAAAACTTTCGAATCTTCTCATTAGGAATATGGAGTCTTGTCTTTGGGAAGGTACTGTAATATGGGATGGGTTAAACAGAGTACAACCATGTGATTTTATATGCAGTTGAAAATCACCTCTATATATTGTACATAACTCTCTTTATATATGTACATGTATATATACCTAAATATATATACTGTTAAAAAAAATGGTGTGACAAAAGTTGAATGGAGAGTAGGGTGGCTGTGCTTAGACATGCAGTGTCTCTTTGGAAGGGTTAATAAACCATCTGGGAGAGGAAGTGGGGAGATGAAGGAGATAGTGCTCTCCCCTCCTAATCTTTATGAGCACGTTAACAGTAACACTCACTGGAGGTTGGTATCACAGGGGACTTCCTTTCTTCACACATTGTCTAATTTTTTTTTAAAGGCTGGAATAATGCCTCTACTATAGAGGCAAATCAGAAGGGGACTATGTCTAAATGAAGCTTGAGGGAATTCCCTGGTGTCCAGTGGTTAGGAATCCGCACTTTCACTGCTGAGGGCCTGTGTTTCATCCCTGGTCGGGAAACTAAGATCGCACAAGCCACGTGGTACAGCCCACCCCCAAAAGAGAACACAGATTACTTGCTATCTCGGCACCACTCTATTTTGTAATACACTTTTGCTCCAGCTGGTATCCATTCTGGCAATAGCCCCCAGTATTACAGGTCCAAGTTTCTCTGGTTGCATGTGGGCCCGTGACTCACCATCTGCCTGATTTCCTTCTGCAGTATCCTCTCTGGCTCCTTCAGAACACAACTGAAACTCCTATCTCCTTTACAGTGGTCCCTCCTTTGGTATGTTGCTCAATCCTATGAATTAATACATCTTGTAAGAGAATGTCAGAGGTTCAGGCAGGCTTTTCATTCCCCTATTGCATCTTGTAAATCAACCTGAATCACAAGTTTGTTTTTGGACTCAGAGTAATAACGGAAGGTCATCTGGCCATCCCTGACGCCAGGCCACATGACAGCTCCTTGGCCTCTTAAGGAAATGTCGCTGCCCCAGCCTCTGGTTTTAGTCAAGTGTGGTCCCAGAACTTTTAAAGGGACTCACAATTCCCTTTAAATACATTATGAAGTAGGCAGAGAGCATGGGTTCAAGATTGTTTTTATTTTCAGAGCCTGCAACAGTTGGTTACCAGTGTTACTAAGCTGGTACATTCTGAAGGCCATCCCACCTCCCTTTTCAGGCATTCAACCAACAGAATCCCTACAAACAAGATTACAGACTAATTAAGATGTGTCTCAATGTGTGTGGGGGAAGAGGCCTTCTCCCCCTGCTCCCCTCCTCCCCACATACTTTTTCTAACAAGATTGTTTTATAGTCAAATGCAACTCAAACCCATAACACAGCAACCAGTCATCTCCAGTATCACTGATTCTCTCCCTGCCTGCAGAACAGGAAGCCAGGGCAAGAGGGGAGACTGAATCTGCTATATAAGAAAAACTTTGCTATACCCCAATGGAGCAAAGATGGTGAGGAAGCCAGCGCCTAAGGGTGGGGATGAGCAAGAACCAAACAGGCCTGTCTAGAATCAATCAACTCAGCCCCAGCTCCTTGGGAGGTGTTCCTTTGAGACCCCTACTTCTGTGGGATGAGATGAGGGGCAACTGGTGATGATCCATCTCTCCCTGTCCCTCAAATTAAAACATGATAAACTCAAACTTTTACCTGCAAAATCCACCACACCGCCTCCTGAGAAACACATTCTATAGTCATCTCTGCCAGCACCCACTCCCTTCTAAAGCCCAGGGCTTCCAGCCCCTCTCCCCAACCTTGGGTGGCCCAGCCAACACTGATTTGATACTCCTTGACTCATAGAATGACTATTTTTAAAAAATTAAAATAGAAGCAATCAAAGAGTATCAGAGTAATAGAAGAAAGACACTCAATATATACTCCCTTCCCTTATCTGGCAGAGCCCCCCATCCCTGCCCGCCTACACTGGGATACCTGCTCTACCATGTTCCAACACTGACCTGGGGGTGGCCCAATGGAAGCTGCCTCAAGTGCTTTCCTGACCGTGACTCCTAGACCAGCAACATCACAGCAAGCAGGGTCACCCCAGTAGATCTCAGGGGCCTTCGAGGTAGGTCTGGGAGGTTTAGCTTATGTCCTGTAGCCAAGCCTGAGTCTGGGGCCTGCTCCCACCAGTATCTCAGTCCTTGGCTGTATATTAATAGCAGCAGCCCCAGTACTGCAGCACCTCCTGGGGGTGACAGAGTGCCTAGTTCTCTGTCCCACAACTCATGTCCTTCTTCCCCCTCCCTTTTTCTTTTTTTTTAAAAATTAAAGGCAGAGGTAGTCCCTGGGATGATAAAACCCCACCTAGGATGGCAGTATTGTAACTTAAAGAAGCAGTTAAATAAAAGTCTCCAGGAGTTGATTACAAAAAAAGAAAGAAAAGAAAGTGACTGATGAAGTTGAATAAATTAATGATATGGGTTATCCCACAAAGACCTTTCCTTTGCAGGCCGTCTTTGGTATTTGGCCAGCAGCATTTGTGAGTCTTCTCTCCACTCGGACTCTCCTACCCCTCCCCCCTCAGGAGAGAAGGCCATTGCCCAACGAGGCCCAGGCGGCTCATCCAGCTGTGGGGGATGAGGAGTCAGAACATCTTGACTTGGTGCTTGGAACTGTGCTGTGGCACGTGACAGCCTTGGCAGACCGTCCTGTTGCAGAAGGAGGACAACTTACAGGGACAGAAGAGCCAGCAGGATGCTCTGGGCTCCAACCCTGGGAGAGTGGGAGGTAGGTTTAAGACATGGAAGCCTCACGCCTTCTCTCCAAATGTCACATGGCTGGCCCCTTTGCTCCAGTTTCTCTGTAGCAAAGAGGGGAGGGGGGTAGGGAGGGAGGCTCAGGCTGTTGCTGTCTGGCACTGAGACCCTCAGAGCTTCTTCAGACGGCTATACATCTCTCTCTTGCTCTTTTCCCCGGCCCAGGTCCGGCTCTTGGTGCGGAACTTCTTCAGGTCTTCTTTAAAGTCCTCATGGTGCATGGGCCGGTAACTGGGGGGCTCGCAGTGAGACTGGCGGGAAGACAGGACGAAGTCAGGGCACACCTGCTTCATAAGCACACTCCTGCGCCCTCCCTGCCAGGGGCTGCAAGGCTCTGCTCAGCAGGTTCTAGGGCCCTTCTGTGTGCAGGGCAAATCCCCAGACCCCTGGCAAGAAACACCCATGACCACTAGATATCTGGGTGGAGGGGCGGCCCCTGCCCTCCAGGGAGTCCATCTTACCTGGCATTTCAGGAAGAACTCCTTATATCCGCCCTTCAGGACATATAGCTCCGGGTAATGGAGTTTGGGGTACTCGTTACCAAGCCGATCTCTCTCTCTCACATATCGGCACCTATAAAGGGGAAGGAAAGCCAAAGTATGGTTAGCTCTACACAGTGAAAGCAGTGTTCCTTACACACATCTCCCCAACTTTACCTTCATTCTTGGAAACAATCAGTGTCGACTTGTGATTTCCTGGCCACCTGTTATCTTCAGGAGTAGTGTTCAGAGCCAGTGCCACTGCCTCGTATTGGCAGGTAGATGGTCTCTTCCCAAATTTTCAAGTTAAACAGCCCTAGCAACTGATCTCTGCCCAGCATCTTCCCTGCCACCAGCACCTAATCTTCAGTGACAGCTTCCCAGCCAGCTTCCCTCTGCATTCTCCACCCTCCACGACCAGTGTCTCTCCCTTACTTCCTTCTGAGCTTTGCTCCTGTCTCAGGGCACCTACTTGCATCCTGTTCTAAAATGGGCTATTGTGTAGTGTACTGTATACTCCTGTAGTTATGTGTGTGCAAATGCAGCAAAATATCACCAGTCGATGAAATCAGGGGAAGCATGCACTCTTTCTGAGCGTGAAATGGTTCCAAATAAAAAGGTGGCACAAGAACTTGAACCCAGCCCCATGAGAAAAGTCTCTCTTGGAACCTCCTAGTGAAGCTGCACTGCTCCCTGCCACCTCTGTCCCTGTTTGCTCAGCATTTATCACAACCATCTTCCGTCTCTCCACTGGGACCTCCCCTGCGGCAGGTCAGTCCTGTTTGCTCATTGCTGTAACTTCATTGCCTCAATAGCCCCTGACACGTCCAGGCTGGCAGTCCTTTCTGAAGGGAACTAGCACAGATGGGCAGCTGTTTGGCCCTCCCCCTAGCTTTTTAATACCACCACTCACTTCTGACCACATTTTCAGAACCAGTCCTGTCACCATTAGTGAGAGTGTGGAAAGATGTTGTTAGAGCATCAGAGTATTATTTTAAATCTGAAGTGATGTTATTTTATTGTAATTATACTTTCATTTATTTTGGTATAAAACTTATCTTTGTAGTAAATTATAACAGGGCCTTAGTCACCAAAGCCCTAACAGAAGTTCTTATTAATAAGGGGTGGGGATGGGGGGGCGGGGGCATTTCTTTTAAACTCTAACATGGCAATAACGTGAAGGTAACATAATCCACTCCTTTGCAAACGTGGATTTGACAAGTATTCAAGAGCATCACATCAAGTTTTGCAGAGAGGATATGACACTCTTCTGGCATTTGCATAAGGAGCAACCACACTGTACCTGAAGGATGTCACCTGAGAACAGTAGCCCCAAAGGTAGAAATAAGGACAGTGGGGGAAACTGGAAGAGCCAGAGTTTAATTCAATACAAAGGAAGGCTGGACAGTGAGCCATGCCCAGCAGTAGCCAGGACTAACTCAGGAGTGAGGGTGATGAAGCAGAGGCCAGATCCTCGGGGGATGTTGCACAGGGAACACCTGTGTCACAGGCTGGACTGGGGAAGCCAGAAAGCCCTCCATGACAACTACTGTGAAACTGTTAGGGCAAGCCTATACACTACACTCCAGGAAGCTGTTCATGAAATCAACTGACTGCAAAACAGGTAAGGATTTCAGAGAATACCTGTTACACGTGAATTGATACTTTTACAAAACTAGGTATTTTCACACCATGTGTGTAGGCTAAGGCATGGAAATGACATTCGATGTGCCACAGGCGGTCCCACAAAAGCACCATGGGGGCCATGCCCTGGAGCCCACTCACATGCGAGGGCCTCGCTCAGAAGAAAACTCGCAGTGGAACACCACGATGACACGCTTGCCATCCGTAGGTACGATGGGCTTCTTGAGTAAGAAGTCTTCAACCTCCTCTTCCATGTGCAAGTTCACTGCACCCTGTGAAGGCACCAGAGACTCATGTTTCACACTCGCAGTAATGATTCTTCGAGACTGGTCTTCAAATGGGCACCTCAAATTCTGTTATGACTGTGTGCACTGTATGAGTGGTATTTGTGAATGCCCGGGACTTTCACGGCCATGACAGTGGCAAACACTAACACTGTATTTAAAGTACCTCCTTACCGTATTTCAACACTATATTATTGGTTAAAAGATTAAAAGGGCACAACCAATTACTTTCTTCCTGGGAAAGTATGTTCCAACACCCAACTAACCAGGCAACTATAAATGTAAGAGGTATCATTAGGCTTGGCACACACTGGGACATGTTGCCAGAGACTGGCTTCTCCTCATGGCTTCATGTCCAGGCATGGCTTAGAAGTCAGTGGGTACCATTTAGAAATGCCCCTGATGGTGATGGTGATGGTGATGGTGTGAGGGACAGAACAGGAAGCAGTTGCCGTACAGTGTGGTAGAGGTTAGTGCAGACCAGGGAACATTCTTTCAGTGCACCAGGAGTCAAATGCCTTTCACGCCCACTGCTTCTTTTTACAATTCTTATAACCAGCATGTGAGCATTATAATGAGCAGCCAGGTGTCACCTCCCCCTTTAAAAAAAAAAAATCACAGATGCTGTCCAGGGCTCCTGCTATGCCTCCCACAACAGCAGGGCTCGCCCACAAGCCTCAGGAATCCATACCTTGATGTGGCCTCCCTCATATTCATATGGGTATCGGCAGTCAATGATAACAAACTCTTTAATGAGGTTGGCAAACTTGCCACTCAAAACAGACGCTATCTGTGGAGAGAGAGCCAAGGAGAATCAACTCTGGCTGCCAGGAACACGTAGATTCCATGTGTGGCAGGTTCCAAAAGGATGACTTACAATTTCTGGAGAGATGTATTTTAAATCCTGATGCTTTCCAGCAACTGTATGAAAGAGGTAACACTTAAAAAAAAGAGAGAGAAAGAGAGAGAGAGAGAAATACTTAGCAAATCCAAAAGTTTAAAAATGCAACATTTTTATATTGCTTGCCTTCCTGGTAAGAGTCAGCTTGAAAAAAACAAACAAACATTAATCTAATAGAATATGTTGGTTACTTGTCTAGCCACTTCATTAATATCCTGACATTGAATTTTCACACAGACCTATAAGGCACGTTATCCCCATTCCCATATGTCAAAGCTAGGTACCTTGTCCAAGGTTAGCCAGCAAGTAAGCCAGACTTGAATACAGAAACCTCAGGTGATTTCCTTTTTCTCCCGCTTTTGTTAGGAACCCTCACCTCAGCAGCCAGACTGTGTGCAGCACATAAAGGACACAGAGAGGAATGACTTCATTGTTTACTGAGCACCTGCTATGTCCAGCATGGTGCTAGACACTGGAGATGGAATGAGTGAGGCTGGGCCCAGCCTTGAGGGAGAAGGACGGGCACATCAGTAATTACTCACTAGGGCGGACTGGCCAAGTCAAGTGCTCACCCAATCCCGTGGCCATGTGTGGGGTCATTATGACAAACACAACCAACCACAGCTTCAATTCAGGTGCAAGCTTCTACCAGCAAGGACACACCACACCCAGGTCTTGGCTTGCTCTTCCCTTCAGACTAGAACTGTCTTCTATTTTTTTTAAAATTTTATTTATTTTTTAACATCTTTGTTGGAGTATAATTGCCTTACAATGGTGTGTTAGTTTCTGCTGTACAATGAAGTGAATCAGCTATATGTATACATATATCCCCATATCCCCTCCCTCTTGCGTCTCCCTCCCACCCTCCCTATCCCCCCCCTCTAGGTGGTCACAAAGCACCAAGCTGATCTCCCTGTGCTATGCAGCTGCTTCCCACCAGCTATCTATTTTACATTTGGTAGTATATATAAGTCCATGCCACTGTCTCACTTCGTCCCAGTTTACCCTTCCCCCTCCCTGTTGTCTTCTATTTTTAATCCACTTATTTCTCCCACCTGGTTGAAATATCTAGCCCAGATCCAAACCTTCCCCAATCGCCTAGCTGAAACTGAGACAACCCTTTTATTTCTTGTTTATTTATTTATTTATTTAGTTAGTTAGTTAGTTATTTTTGTGGTACGCAGGCCTCTCCCTGTTGTGGCCTCTCCCATTGCAGAGCACAGACTCCAGACGTGCAGGCTCAGCAGCCATGGCTCACGGGCCCAGCCGCTCCGCGGCATGTGGGATCTTCCCGGACCAGGGCACGAACCCGTGTCCCCTGCATCGGCAGGCGGACTCTCAACCACTGCGCCACCAGGGAAGCCCAACCCTTTTATTTCTTAGTCTGCTGCTTTCACTGCACTGATGTTTACTTCAATCTACCATGTGATACATGTCTATGTGGCATGATGTCTTACTGACCATATGTTAAGTGTTTTGAGGGAAGGAACTGTGTCTCATTTTGGAATCTTTGCCTTACACATAATAAGTGTTTCCATAAATGTTAGCTACATTAATACATCAAAGACTGGTCTGGGGACCTTCAAGTCATATGTGGCTAAACAAGCTACTACTGACACAGGAATGTGTCACATTTCACCACAGCTCAAAGGCAGCCGACCTGTATCAGGCCATCAGCAGACCATCCTCTGGACCTCCCTGAGGGCCTTTTCCCTCTAGGGCCATGGTCCTCTGGACAATGGAGAAATTTAGTCTCAATCCTGGACATTCTAAGAGGACCTTTTGATATACAGACTTATATACAGTGAGGCTAGAGGTTTATTTCTGCTTCTTTACACTTTTCTGCAGTACTGCTTTTATAATCACAAACACAGTTCCCAGAGAGCCTGGTCTTTGGGTTGGTGTCAAGGCGGCTGGTGGGTGGCTCCCTACTTGAAACCTCTGACCAGCATCAGTAAGGTCTATAGTCCCACAGAGACTGAGATACACCTGATCATGAATGTGTTTCCTTATCTTAAAACAAATTTCAAACTGCGTCCCCTTGGCGGGGTGGGGTGGGGGGAACCCCAGGAACCACTTCAGGGAGGGAGGAAGGCTGAGGGGGGCGTTTTAGGTACCCCCCTGCCAATCCTGCATCACAGAGCAGTTCTGCGTGCAATTACCTTGGAGAAGTCTCCTATAAGGTCCCTTGGGTCATTATCCAAAATATTCTCAATGGTCCCTTTTGGGGAAGATACCAGGCATAAAGACTGATGTAGAATCTGTAACAAATCAAAGGTGGAGAATGAGGCCAGGATTCTGAACAGAACTTATGAAAACATTCACCTGGAACATGTCAGGAAGAAGAGACTGAAATGTTAACATCCATATTTAGCAAAAAGATACCTTTCTTATTTGACTGAATCTAGAGTGAAAAAAAGAATATGGGTTACTGACTAGGTATACTGTTATTTGAACTGAATTCAATTCTAACTGAACTGCTCTGAAACTTCCTTTTTTTTTTTTAAAAAAAAGAAGGATTAAAATTAGGGCTAAGTCTAAAAAAAGTATTTCTTAGTTCTACCCACTGAGAAGCTCCAGGGTTGCAGTAAGTAGCCCTTAGGTCAGTGTGCTCTCTAAATAATACAGCTGACCCCTGAACAACACGGGGGTTAGGGCCACCATCTCACATCCCCGAATTCAACCAACCACAGATCATGCAGTACCACAGTATGTATTTATTGAAAAAAAATCTGCGTATAAGGGGACCTTACAGTTCAAACCCATGTTGTTCAAGGGTCAACTGTATTTTCCACTAAAAGAAACCAGAGCTTTTTGATTGACTCCAGGCTGGGACAAGAAATGTGCAAGATAAACCTGGAACACTTTGTCATTAGTAGCAAGGAAGCACTCATATTTCAAAGGACACATCAAAAGGGCTAATCGTGGGGAAGTAAGGATTTCTTTTATACACTTAGTGTATTTTATATTATTTATTTGGCTGCACCAGGTCTTAGTTGTGGCATGCAAACTCTTGGCTGCAGCATGTGGGATCTAGCTGCCTGACCAAGGATCGAACCTGGGCCCCCCGCATTGGGAACGTGGAGTCCTAGCCACTGGACCACCAGGGAAGTCGCAGGATTTCTTAAGCAGTACACAAAAAACACGAAACATAAAAAGACTGATAAATTAAAACATGTTTAAAAGAATATCAAGAAATTCTGTTCATCAAAACAACAAGATTAGGTAAGAACAGGCAAGCCAGAGTGGGCAGATATGCATCCATCTCAATAAAAGATTCATCTCTGAATATATAAAGCATTCCCACAAATAAGAGACAACCCAATAGAAATATGGGCTAGAAACTTGGCTGAGTAATAGAGAAGAAAATCTAAGACCAAGAAAAATAACTATCAGGGAAATGCAAGTTAAAATCAGATACTACACACTCACCAGAATGGCTAAAGTTAAAGAGATGAACAACACCGGATACTACTGGTAAGGATGTGGAAGAACTGGAACTCTCACACACTGTTCTGAGTACAGCCAACCCTCGGTATCTGTGAGATTGGTTTCAGGACACCCAAGGATGCTCATATAAAATGACACGTAGTACAGCTAGTGCTCAGTAAGAATGCATTGCAGGGGCTTCCCTGGTGGCGCAGTGGTTGAGAGTCCGCCTGCCGATGCAGGGGACACGGGTTCGTGCCCCGGTCCGGGAAGATCCCACATGCCGCGGAGTGGCTAGGCCCGTGAGCCACGGCCGCTGGGCCTGCGCGTCCGGGGCCTGTGCTCCGCAACGGGAGAGGCCACAACGGTGAGAGGCCTGCATACCGCAAAAAAAAAAAAAAAAAAAAAAAGAATGCATTGCAAAGTTGGTTAAATCCATGGATGCGGAGCCCCCAGATACGGAGGGCTGACTGGACAACCACTTTGGAAAGCTATATGACAGTGTCTGCTAAAGCTAAACACATGCCTAGCCTAGGACCCAGCAAGTCCACAAGAAAAGTAAAAGTGCATGTTTACAAAATAAATTGTATAAATACCATCAACTAGTATTTGACAAGGGAGCCAAGAATGCTCAATGAAGAGAAGATCAGTCTTCTCAATAATACATCATGCTGGAAAAACGGAACATAAACATGTGAAAGAATGAAATTAGACCCCTATCTTACACTACTCACAAAAAATAACTTGAAATGGCTTAAAGACTTAAGTGTGAGACAAGAAACCATAAAACTCCTAGAAGAAAACACAGGAAAAAAGCTCCTTGACATGAGTCTTGGCAATGACTTTTTTAGATTTGACCCCTAAGGCACAAGCAACAAAATAAAAAATAATTGAGACTACATCAAACTAAAAAGCTTCTGCCCATTAAAAGAAATCAACAAAATGCAAAGACAACCTATAGAATTGGAAAAAATATTTGCAAAACATATTATCTGATAAGGGGTTAATATCCAAAATATATAAGGAATCCATACAACTTAATAGCAAAAAAACAATCTCTTTTTTAACATCTTTATTGGAGTGTAATTGCTTTATAATGTTGTGTTAGTTTCTGCTGTACAACGAAGTGAATCAGCTATAGGTATACATATATCCCCATATCCCCTCCCTCTTACATCTCCCTCCTACCCTCCCTATCCCACCCCTCCAGGCGATCACAAAGCACCGAGCTGATCTCTCTGTGCTATACAGCTGCTTCCCACTAGCTATCTATTTTACATTTGGTAGTGTATATATGTCAATGCTTCTCTCTCACTACATCCCAGCTTATCCTTCCCCTCCCCGTGTCCTCAAGTCCATTCTCTACGTCTGCATCTTTAAAATAATCTGGTTTTAAAAAGTAGGCAAAGGACCTGAATAGACATTTCCCTAAAGATACACAAATGGCCAACAGGTACATGAAAAGATGATCAATATCACTAATCGTTTAGGGAAATGAAAATCAAACTGTTGTACAATGAGATATCACTTCATGACTATAAGAATGGCTATCATCGAAAAGAAAAGATGGGGACTTCCCTGGTGGTGCAGTGGTTAAGAATCCGCCTGCCAGTGCAGGGTACATGGGTTCGAACCCTGGTCCGGGAAGAACACACATGCCGCAGAGCAACTAAGCCCATGTGCCACAACTACTAAGCCTGCGCTCTAGAGCCTGAGAGCCACAACTACTGAAGCCCGCGGGCCTAGAGCCTGTGCTCTGCAACAAGAGAAGTTACCGCAATGAGAAGCCCGAGCACCACAATGAAGAGTAGCCCCCACTCGACGCAACTAGAGAAAGCCTGCGCGCATCAACAAAGACCCAACGGAGCCATAAATAAATAAATAAGTAAATAAATAAAAATGAAAAAAAGAAGAGCGAACTCCCTGGCGGTCCAGTGGTTAGGACTCCACACTTTCACTTTGGGGGTCCGGGTTCAATCCCTTGTCGGGAACTAAGATCCCGCAGTCCCCATGGTGATGCCAAAAACAAACAACAACAACAACAACAAAAAAAAGAAACAAGTGTTGGCAAGGATGTGAAGAAAAGGGAACCTTTGTACAATATTGGTGGGAATGTAAAGTGGGATAGCCACTATGGGAAACAGTATGGACGTTCCTCAAAAAAATTGAAAATAGGGACTTCCCTGGAGGTCTAGTGGTTAAGAATCTGCGCTTCCAATGCAGGGGGCATGGGTTTGATCCCTGGTCAAGGAACTAACAGCCCACCTGCCGTGCAGTGCAGCAAGCAGACAAAAAAGAAAAAAAAAAATCAAAAACAGAACTAACTAGGAGCCAACAATTCCACATCTGGGAATATATTAGAAGGAAACGAAAACACTATGTCAAAGAGATATCTGCACCCCCATGTTTAGAGCAGCATTCTTTATAATATTCAAGAAATGGAAATAACCTAAGTGTTCATTGACGGATGAATGGATAACCAAGTTGTTATACACACACACACACACACACACACACACACAATGGATTATTACTCAGCCATACAAAAAGAAGGCAATCCTGCCATTTGCGACAACATGGATGGACCTTGAGGGCATTATGCCAAGTGAAACTGAAATAAGTCAGAGAAAGACAAATAACTATATGACATCACTTATATGGGGAATGAAAAAACTTAAAAAACACAATACAAACCATCACCACAACCACCAAAACAAAAACCAAACTCATAGAAAAAGAGATCAGATTTGTGGTTACCAGAGGCAGGCAGTGGGGGAGGAGGATTGGATGAAGGTGGTCAAAACGTACAAACTTCCAGTTATAATATAAATAAGTACCAGGGATGTAATGTACAACATGATGACTACAGTTAAGCCTGCTGTATGGTATATATGAAAGTTGTTGAGAATAAATCCTAAGAGTTCTCATCACAAGGAAATAACAGAACTAAAATACCTAGAACTAATTGACAATGAAAAACACTACAATCAAAGTTGTGAGACAAACCTAAAGTAGTGGGAAATTTATATACCTACATAGAACAGGACACAAGAAAAATTAAAACTAACATCAAGGAAAAAAATTTATGGCCCTACTCCATGGCCCAATAAGTAGGGAGCTTAGACTTCCACCCTTGCCCAGCTGTACTTAAGTGTCCCAATCTCTACTCCACTGGGATGGTGTCAGCGGAGGCCTAGAAGGGAGCCTGAACTCCCAATCCTGCCCAGCAAACATGAGGCTTGCCCCACCCTAGGTGGCATATCAAGGGAACCTGAACTTCCATCCCCACCTTCCTGCAGTACCAGAGGACTGACTGCTAAAACAGAAGAGTTACATAGCCTCATAATATCCAAAGAATATAGATATAACTGAAAAATCACTTGTCATACCAAGAACCAGGAAAATCTCAGCTTGAATAGGAAACGATAATCAACAGAAAGCCACACCAGAAACAGACGTTGGAATTGCCTGACAAGGATTTTAAAGTAGCCATTATAAAAATGCTTCAACAGGCAATTATGAACATGATTGAAACAAATGAGAAACAAGAACAGCAAGTCTCAGCAAAGAAAAAGAATCAAATGGACATTTTAGAACTGAAAGATACAATATCACAGTCCTTGAGCAAAAAAGACCCTGCATAACTAACCTCCTGGGGCTTCTTTGGACTAGCTGCCTCTTCGGGACTGGCCCCAGCCACGCTCTTCCTCCGCTTCCTATTTCCACGTGGGGACTCCTCTTGCGATCGGTCTGGTCTTTTCAACGTTGACGGGATGGTGGAGCTACACGTGGAAGGGGAGTCAAACAGCTTGCAACGATTGCCCTTGGTGGGGGTGGGGGGGGAAAGAGACCCATTTAATGTATTTCATTAACATACACTCACTTGAATGGTAAAGAGAATAGATCAAGGACTTCCTGGGATGGTTTAAGATTGATCCATTCTAAATTAGGAAACAGACACTGTCCATTTATCTAGTCCCTGGCACACTGTAGACACCAAGTCCCTGGTGTTCAATGAACATGTTCTAAAGCTGACATTATATGGAAATGAGGAAGACTATCCATGCCCTCAAAAGCCTACTGTCTGCACAGGGTCCTAAGAGTCAAATAACTGTTACCTTCCAGCCAGGGACACATTTTTGGCTTCCTCTTCCCTTCTAGTTTATTACTTGCACTTTGCTGGAACAGCTTGAACAGGCTTTAACAGCCCACCTTAATCCAGAAGGGTGTGTGGTAGCTGGATTATATTATAAATCAGAGCCAGTTAAGGTGGTAAAATAGAGTTGAGTCTAAGTTTGCAGGGGGCAGGGGTGCCTTCAAATCTGTGTTCAAAAGTCCTTCTCTCTACTTGTTTGTTTTCTTTCTGGATTGTACCAAAGCTTTTTTTTTTTTTTTTTTTTTTGTGGTACGCGGGCCTCTCACTGTTTTGGCATCTCCCGTTGCGGAGCACAGGCTCCGGACCCGCAGGCTCAGCGGCCATGGCTCATGGGCCCAGCCGCTCCGCGGCATGTGGGATCTTCCCGGACCGGGGCACGAACCCGTGTCCCCTGCATCGGCAGGTGGACTCTCAACCACTGCGCCACCAGGGAATCCCTGTACCAGAGCATTTTAATTCAAGACTTACAAAGCCAAAGGAAATACAGGAAGATGTGCTATAGTACTTGATCTTTTAAAGACTAATTTCTCAGAGTCTGAGGGCAGCCCACCTGACTAGGGGTAAAGACAGTCTGACTTCAGCTCTCTAAACTCATCTCAGCCCGTTCACAACTCAGTGTTCCTTGGCAGGGCTTTTCCTTCTGTGCTGAATGCCCTTTCATACCCTGTAAACCACTCTCCCTTTCAAGCTGATACTAAAATTTCAGTGTTGCCTCTTCTTTGAAATGTTCCTGATAGTCACCCAGCAAGTGTGTCACTCCCACACTGGCTCTCCTAGAGACCAAGGATTTTCCCCTTATTTTTCTGAAGTTTATTTTAACAGTATGTTGTTCAGAAAAGCAAGGTCAGTTTTGTCTTGTTGTTGTTTTTTACCTAAGAGAGCTGGAAGCATTTTTGGGAAGAGGGCTTACTGCTTTCAATAGGATCTCAGAGGAACTGTAAGCTCCTCAAGGGCAGAAACCCCAGTTCCAACTCAGCCCCTGGCAATTGTGAGTCTACTATGTTTGTGAAAGGAAACCCCCCACTGTGAAGGGCCCACACATACTATTCATGATTTTTAAATCCAACTTATAAAACTGATAGCCATTTCCTAAGCATTCTCACACTGTATATAATTTTGTCTTTCAAAAGGACCTAGTAAATTTCATCATAACATTTGTACTGGGGTAGCCTATTCCCTCAAAGCTTTGCACATTAATCTACCATAATGTGTAAGTGGCTTCAAGACTGTAGTTCATTTGTTCCATATTTATAGTTCAGGGACACTAATACTTAAAAATATACTTATCAGGGCTTCCCTGGTGGCACAGTGGTTGAGAGTCCGCCTGCCGATGCAGGGGACACGGGTTCGTGCCCCGGTCCGGGAAAATCCCACATGACGCAGAGCAGCTGGGCCCGTGAGCCATGGCCGCTGAGCCTGCACGTCCGAAGCCTGTGCTCCATGACGGAAAAGGCCACAACAGTGAGAGGCCCGCGTACCACAAAAAAAAAAAAAAAAAAAAAAAATATATATATATATATATATATATATATATACACACACACACATATACTTATCAACTTATATGTATACCTAAGGGTGTGTAACTGTATTTGTATTGTGATACTATCTCACTTTCCCTAGGTGTTTGCATAAATGAGGATATGTTCCTGTACAGGCACAGCCTTGCGTCTGACTGTTTGAAAGTGTCCCTGATGGAAACAGAAGCCTACAGTCTATATAGATAGGTGGGTATTTAAAAAAAAAAAAAAAATATATATATATATATAGATAGATAGATAGAGAGAGTAAGAGACAGAGAGAGAGAGAGAGAGAGAGAGACATTTTGTGAGTTACTGTTGTTTGCCAAGTGTGCTGATGCTAAGGAATGTAAATAAATGAGAATGATATAAAAAAGTAAACAAACAAACAAACAACAACAAAAAAGTAAACAGTCTTCAGACTAAAGGCTTCAGATTGAGAAGGTTTTTTCAGGGAATTCCCTGGCAGTCTAGTGGTTAGGATTTGGCGCTTTCAATCCCTGGTTGGGGAACTAAGATGTTGCGAGCCGTGCAGCGAGGCCAAAAAAAAAAAAAGACTAATTAATTCCTCTTCAAATGAAGCCTTTCTGTCCCAACTTATTCAACCAGTCCATAATATCTATCACAGTCTGAGTCTCCTCCTTCTACTGGGTGTTCTCTGAATGTGCTCCAGTCTCTCCACATTCTCTCAGCTGTGGAAAGTAAAACAATATGGTAGTCCAGTGTGTTCTCTCCTTCCCCATCAGAACAGGGCAGGGCTAACATCTCCTTTTTCTGTTCTGGGCCAGGGTTCTCCAGTCAACACTCCTAAGGAAGGATAGCGCTATCTGCTACAGAGCCATCAGCTGGGTGGGTACAGATGGTACCTGTAGCAGAAGTCTTTCTATTCCTGCTGCCTGAGATCAAATTCCTTGTCAGATACAAACTGCTCACCCATGAAGCTGTCAGTTAAAATCTAAGCTGATACCAAATCTGACAGAGTTTGAGAATAACTGAGTCTCTTAAATTCAATTTAGCAGATATTTTCCAGCATTATCCAGTGATCTTAAAGAAGTTAATAGAGAGGTCAGAGTTGTAAGAAAAGAAAAGACATTAACTGACCAAGAACAGTTGAGATGAACTAGAAATTATAAAAACAAGAACTGCATGCATTTTATATTACCCAGACTTCCTCACACACCAATGAGGACAAAAACAAAAACAAAAAAACTCCAAACAAACTTGAAAAAACAGTGTGCATTAACACCAGGAAACACTAGCGACCAGTCAAGGGAAAGGCCCACAGACCCAACCACAGAATCTCAAAAGAAACAATTTTGATTCCTGTGGCTCCCTCTAGACACACCGGGACTTACCAGGTTTGTAGCTCTTCTCATGACAAGGGGAGCTGTCCAGAGGCTTGCCATGCAGGACGGGGTTTCTTCATCATTCTAAACAAAGAAAAACTGTGTCACAAAGGTCCAGTAGAGACAACATTAATTTAAATGCTTTAGAATTCTTCCTGCAGAATACCAGAAAGACCTGGATAGGAAGCACTCTAATGTTCACCCCCTTCCCCGTCCCCAACATTTTAAGGTCAGAAAAGAGTAACACTTAACAGTCCCGGTATCTGAGCATAGCTAAAGGTATGCCCCTGAGGGACCGTGAGGAGGCACCCTGTTCTCCTCAGCTTTACGCCATGTGGCAGCTATTCTTCCACTGTTCCTGATTCATATCTCTTGCCAGAAAAATGGATTGTCAGCTCCTTCAGGGTAAGAAGGATCACATCAGTGTCTTCTTTTGAACTCCTCCATAGGATTTAATCAGGCTAGAAGCAGAGTCTCAATAAATTCCCAACAAATGAATAAAAATATCCGCCAGTTGGGGGATCACTGTTCCTTTTCAGATGACTTCTCTCCAGGGTAGTCAGTAAAATGGATGGGAAAACACACACACATAGTACCTTCAGATTCTCTCCATCGAGAAGATCCATGAAGCCATCATCCTCATCAGACAAAGTGGCAGTCACAGGGGACTGAGGCATAAAAAAAGGAGTGAAATGCCCTGGTTCACTGCCATCTCTTTCATTTGAGGAAAGCTACAAGACAGAATTCATGGCTTGTTAATAAATAATCAGCTTTGACTTCCTTGGATGGGTCACTAGTTTTTATGAGGAAAACATATTATATTTTTTGTAAGAACTTTTAGCAGCTCTAATCAAAGGAAAATGAAACCTAAGATTTTAAATGAATTGATGTCCACACACAGTTCTGAGTAGAGTCAGGCCAAGTGGCCTTCACAAAGAACACTCCCCAGGAGCAATTCACCTTACAGTGAGATCTGGGGCTAGCCTCTTGTGAAGGGCAAGGTTTGTTTTTTCTGAGGATCATAATTGGTGAACAGGGATCAGCATGGGGGTTGTGACAAAGTGATAATCTGCTAAAATGAGGAAGGGTGAGAAGATACCAAGTCTCTATGGAAACCACAGAATGGGCTAGAGAATGCTTCTGTAACTCCAGTTCTGACAGAGGGATATAAAGTCAAGAAAGTTCTAGAAAGTCCATCCTAGGGACTTCTCTGGTGGTCCAGTGGTTAAGAATCCACCTTCCAATGCAGGGGACACAGGTTCGATCCCTGGTTGGGGAACTAAGATCCCACATGCCATGGGGCAACTAAGCCAGAACGCTGCAACTAGAGAGCCCACGTGTCACCAACTACAGAGCCCACGCGCTCTGGAGCCCATGTGCTGCAACTAGAGAGAAGCCTGCGAGCTGCAACGAAAGATCCCGCATGCCGCAACAAAGAAAGTCCATCCTAGACTTGGAACTGGAATTTAAATGACAGTTGCTCACTTTTAACTGAGGAATTACTTGTGCCAGACACTAAGATATAACCTTTCATGTATAATCCCATTTAAGCCTCACAATACACTAAGGGTAGTTAATCCTGTTCTTTTTATTTAACGAATCAGGAAACCGATGCTTAAGAGAGGTTACCAAGGTCACACAGCTCACCTGTTTGACCACAAAGCCCAAGCTTTTCTCCCCACTATACTCTCCCTAAGAGAGACCATTCCTGGAGTCAAAATATAGAGTATATCTCATTAAGCAACCCTATCTTGTTTTTCAGGTAAAATCCCCATTATAAAATGAATATATATTTAGTATAGAAAATTTATAAAAACCACTCAAAAATCTACCATCTAGAGATAAACACTGCTAATAAAAACATTGATGATAATGAATTATTTCTTTTCCAGGCACTTCCCAAAGCCAGGAAAAAAGTTCAGAGACAGATTTTTTTCTCTCCCATAGCAACGAATCTCTTTGGGGTATGAATGCATTAATCCTCAAGCAGCCCTCTGGTTTTCTGAGTAGATACCTCACCTAGGGGTCCTCTCTGCAGCTGGCCTACTCTCGTTCAGGCACTAGCTTTGCTTCACAATATAAAACAAGTTCTGGGTTGCCTCTCATCCTCCACAAGTGTACCTGAGCACACCTTGGGCACACTGGCAGTTTTTCAGCCAGCAGAGCCTAGGAGCAGGTAACTCTATCATGGGGCAGCACCCACTGAAGGCTCACCCTATGGTATAATACCAATTTCTGTAACCCAGCTTCTGGCGTCCCCAGGTGCAGATATGCTATAGAAAATGACAATCTCTGGACAGGACCTAATTCTTCCTCCATGATTCCTACACCAAGGAGCCATTATGAGGAAATATAGATGGTGCTTGAAGACTAAAAGCAAGGATACAAAAGAACTACCCTTTGGGACTTCCCTGGTGGTCCAGTGGTTAAGAATCCGCCTTCTAATGCAGGGGACTCAGGTCCAATCCCTGGTCCGGGAACTAAGATCCCACATGCCACAGGGCAACTAACCCCGTACGCTCTAGAGCCCGTGTGCCACAACTAGAGAGCTTGCGTGCTACAACTACTGAGCTCGCACACTCTGGAGCCCGTGTACCACAACTAGAGAGCCCACGTGCCACAACTAGAGAGTCTGTGCGCTGCAAATACTGAGCCCGCGTGCCACAACTAGAGAGAAGCCCCATGTACCGCAACAAAAGATCCCACATGCCACAACAAAGACTACATGCCTCAACTAAGACCCAATGCAGCCAAATGAATAAATAAATATTTTTAAAAGAAAGAAAGAAAGAAATACCCTCTGACATGATCAAAAGCCAAACCATTGCACTTAGCACTGGCTTTCTTTCAGTTTGTACCCTCAGCACCTACAATTAGGGATGGCCAAGTGATTACAGGAAACCCTGGTGCTGTGTTCTTCATGTGTACACTAGAGATATTTAGTTTTGGATACCCAGCTCTCAGAGGGTTACTGTGTACTTGGGAATCAGCAGGCTGTTTAATTCTGGTCTTCATTTATCTGTGTCCTTTGGCAAATCACCCAACCTCCCTGACCACACTTTCCCAATCTGTAAAGTGGGGTAATTCCAGCTACTTCACAGGCTTATGAAGATTAAAGACAGGAGAACATAAATTGCTTTGTGCAAATGCTAGACAGAGTAGTGATACTATCTGAACCTGAACCTCAGACCTTAAGCCAGACTGGAAAGCTGTACTTTCAGATGCAAGTTCCCAAGAAAACCTGGAAACCAAATGTGGTCATTTTGCTCAAGCTGGGCCTCTCTAGTCCATAGCTATCTGTCAGATCATCAGTAGGAAATTAGGAAGTAATGACAGTCTCTGGCAAGTAAATAACTGTGGGACAAGTGGCCCCAAATACTGTCAAGTAGCCTGATAGGCAATGGGTTCACTGGTATACATAATAGTTCTTAATAAACCAAGTTTGGAAGAAGACAAGTGCTCTCGCCAAACAAAATCACTCTGGGAAGTACCTCTCAGCATTCAGGATGCATCGTAAAAGACAAGTTTGAAGTAAGACATACAATCCCACCATATATACATTCAGAAGAATGACCCAGGACACCTGCAGAATTCCCATAATTGACAAGGTCAAATATTCCTTGCTCAAGTCCAATATTTCAAACATATCACCTCTCACTTCTGCTTCTGCCTGTCTGCTCTCCAGACACAGCAGAAACACAAAAAATGTGAGTCTAGTTTCAAAAAACAAAGTCAAGGTAAAGACAGCAAGAGCTACTGCTTCAACTCTAGGTTAAAGAGGACGCTTTCATCTCTTCCCATCAGGAACTCCCAGGACTATGAAAGCCAGAGCACGTACCATCCGAGCTGGGGCAGAGTTCTGCCTCTGTGTGAAGAGATCTTTACCCTCCTGCAGTCCATGAGCATGCAGGCAGCCTCGAGATGCAGGTCTTACTGGCTTCTTAAACTCAAAGGCTTCCTGCAAGACGGTATAAATTGAGACATCATCCACTGTCTATGAAAACCAGCTCTAGGGTCTCAGCTATAGCTTCAGGAAACAAGCAAGGGAGTGGGTATTGATCACCTGCCTCCAAACCCATTTCTGATCTAATTCCAATACTGGATCTGTGCAATTAAGAATTTCAAAGATTCTGTCAAAAGCTAACTTCTAATACAGCACTTTTTTCTCTTACCACAAACACTTTATTTCCTAATAAACACATGAGTATCTGCCAGGTACACAAAACACTATAAGTTAAAAACTAAATCAACAACTGTCTATCAACTATACTTCAATTAAAAAAAAAACTTTCTAGGGCTTCCCTGGTGGCACAGTGGTTGAGAGTCTGCCTGCCGATGCGGGGGACACAGGTTCGTGCCCCGTTCCGGGAAGATCCCACATGCCACGGAGCGGCTGCGCCCGTGAGCCATGGCCACTGAGCCTGCGCGGCTGGAGCCTCCGCAATGGGAGAAGCCACAACAGTGAGAGGCCCGCGTACCGCAAAAAAAAAAAAAGAAAAAAACTTTCTAAAATCGAAAGCGATTTCATTTCAATATAATTGAATAGGAATAAAAACTTTTCAGTCTAAACTTAAAAGAGGCCTTTATATTTTCCATCTTCTTCCTACCAATAGGAGATAATTAAGTGGAAAACACTTAAAGTTACTGCTTTCCATACTAAAAGCAATGGGGAAAAAAACTAACGACAACATAATGACTATAGCTAACACTTCTGGATGATAAGAGGGTAACTCCTAGGAGTCCTCATCACAAGGAGAAAAGTTTCCCCTTTTCCTTTCTTTTCCTTTTATTGTATCTATATGAGAAGATGGATGTTAGTTGAACCTACTGTGGTAATCAATTCACAATACATGTAAATCAAGCCATCATACTGTATGCCTTAACTTTACAGTGATAAATGTCAATTATTTCTCAATAAAACGAGAAAAAAAAACCAAAAACCATTCTGGTTTATTCAACCACTTGGATGAATCTCACATAATGTTGAGTGAAAGCCAGAAGTGATAGAATACATACTGTATGATTTCATTTACTTAAAGTTTAATAGCACTAATAATTCCCCTACCCTAAAATATCCACTGAAGAACTTGTTAAGCACAGCTAACATCACAGAGTATTTACATGCCCATACAGTGCTTTCAGTGCATTAGCTCATTTATCCATCCGATCATCCCCACTTTAGAGATGAGGAAACTAGGCCCATAGGTTAAGTGATGTGCCGAAGATCTGGCTTCATAACCCGACTGGACAACTCCAGAGCAAGAGCTCTTTAACCTATGCTGTTTCCCCTCCAGAATGAAGCTCTAAGCAGGCAACCCTGGGAGAAGCCAACCTGGGGTTGTGGGGAGAGAGACCAGGCATGAGTACAATAGCATTAGACTGTTTGGTTAAATGTACTACACAGAGGGAGACGTAGTGTTCTAAGCACTCAAGGCAGGAACTCATTTCTGTATCTCCCTCAGGACATCTTGCAAGTTGCCAAAGGAATCACTGGGAGGGTTCATAGAAGCAGTAGGTTCTGGAAGTATTAAGCCTGGAAGATTATAAGAAGTATGATATGGAAATAAATAGATATGGAAATACAGTGAGAAAGAAGACCGGGAAAGTTGAGCTGATTCACTGAACTCTTTTGGTGCCTACTCTGTGCAAGGGGCCCCGCCAGGTGTGAGAAAAGCCAGGCCAGGACGTTCTTGGACTTTTGGCTGCACCACCCCAACTCACCTTCTAAGCTACCATTTCACTTACTCTGAGATCCCCTGGGACTTGTTGGCTCTGTTCTTTCAAATACTGTCAAGAAGCCTTTCCCTAAACTTCTAACTCATCCCACGGTCAGCACAAAGAGGCAAGGAAGGCCTGGCCAGACCCTTCCAGATAAAGTGTTCATGGATATAATTCCTACTCAGAGCTACCTTCTGAGCAACTCCTACCTGCCAGGAACCATTTGAAATGCTTTATCTACATTATCCTTATTTAATTCCCACAATAATCCTACAAGGGACTGTTACTCCTATTTCACAAAGAAACAAAGAAGCCTAAAAAAAAGCCAAGGTCACAGCTAGCAAGCAGTAGGATTCAAATCTAAGTTTTTCTGACTCCAAAGACCATCATGACTTTGGTGAAGGTTTAGTCTCCCAGGAAGCAGCCAGCCCAGCTACTTCTCCATAAGCCATGAACACTTGTGGGTTTGACCTGTGCCCCCAGGTGAGTAGATTAACGCCACACTCACGTTTTCCTTGTTCTCATCCTGGTCAATTAGCTGAAAGACATCATGGTCAAGAGAATCAGAATGGCTCCTCTTCAGAGCTGGGCTACACCCCAAGAGCTTCTGCTATTAAAGTGAAAAGAGGAATTAGGGTACATAAATAAAAATTCAATGGAAACTCAGTTCTAAAAGAAAAAACATATGGTGGTGGTGGGTTGGGGAGACCTAGCCCCTCATACACTGCAGTGGGTAACCAGTAAATGTGCCTAGGGCTCCACCTTGAGAGAACACAAGATAGAAGTTCCCACTACATGGATTTACACCTAACTTCACCACGTCTACAGCCCTCTCAGCAAGGACTTAGGTACCAAATCAACCCCAAAATAACATCGCTTACATAAAAAGAACCCCCTTCCTGGTTGGATAAAACTCTAATAGTTAGAGATGGAAGAAAAAGCCCTCAAGAGGTAGCCATTATTGAAGTTGCTTTAGGTAGAGTGTTTTGAATGTTTATGAGACAAAGTAAGGAAAAGCAGTCTGTATAAATTAAGGTCTACTATCAAGGTTATACTGGTAGCTAAGGGGCAGATAATAGGTATTGGCTCAAAATAAACAAGGGAACTAACTTACAGGCAGGGAATTTATTCTCCTCATGTGATTTTCAAGGCTGTAATGAAATCAGAAAGTAAATAATGAGAATAAAGCAAGTAAAGAGGTATACATATTAGCAGATGCAAACCTATAGTTTGGTGGGGTGAGGGGAGAGTCAAACATTCCCATTTTAGGCAAGATGGAAAAATAGATTTCTGAAGCTGTCCTGTTCTCATAAGTATCTCCACCGCTGGGCTTCTAGTGAAAAAAGCAAGCCTAGGTCTTCTCTTAAAATATACACGTTCTAGGGCTTCTCTGGTGGCACAGTGGTTGAGAGGCCGCCTGCCGATGCAGGGGACACGGGTTCGGGCCCCGGTCCGGGAGGATCCCACATGCCACGGAGCGGTTGGGCCCGTGAGCCATGGCCGATGGGCCTGAGCGTCCGGAGCCTGTGCTCCGCAACGGGAGAGGCCACAACAGTGAGAGGCCCGCGTACCGCAAAAAAAAAATAAGTAAATAAAGTTTTTCTAAACACAAATATTTAAAAGCAGTGAATACGTACTTTTCTTTACTATCCAAGGGCCCAGGAGAATCCAGACAGAAGCCTGTGGGAAATTCAAACAAACAAACAAAACACCTCTCAGGATTTAATACATGATGCACCACTTTGTCATTGAAATAAATAAATAAAACACTAGTACTGTTTCTTTAAGGCCATCAACAAAGGCTCATGGCTTGGACTTCTGACAGAATTGAAGTTGAGTCTCCATGATTGCCAAAACTTTTGTAAAAGTCTAAATATTTTCATAGTATATCTACTCATCCTTTCCTACTTGCAAATACCATCATGGAAAACAGGATTTGAGGAGAGTGAATTAAACCAAACCTCATGACTTATTTACAAAACAGAAACAGACTCACAGATGTAGAAAACAAATTTATGGTTACCAAAGGGGGAAAGGAGGAGGTGGAGGGGATAAATTAGGAGTTTGGGATTAGCAGATACAAACTACTACATATAAAATAGATAAACAACAAGGTCCTACTGTATAGCACAGGGAACGATATATATTCAATATCTTGTAATAACCTATAATGAAAAAGAACTATATATATGTATAACTAAATCACTTGGCTGTACACCAGAAACTAACACAACATTGTAAATCAACTATACTTCAATCAAAATAAAAAAAAGTTCCTAAACCAAACCTCATGATTGCTTCGTTATTCAGATAGAGGTTACCCAGGCTAACTTTCTGTGAGTTCCAACCACGGAAAGAATAGGTACCTGTTTTCTGGAATAGTTTTGGTTTCAAATATCTTATATCCTGTCAGATCATATGCACAACTCAGCGGGCTGGAAAATACAATTATGTTCTCTGACAAGCAATTTTGCCTTCAACAAAATAACATAAAGTGAGGTGCTCAACTCACCAACGGCAGCAGAATAGAGGAGACACTGCTCAGCATGGCCCAGAGCCACCAGGGCCTGCCTAGCGCACACCTTTCCTCCACGATGTCTAAATAATCGTACAGGAAGTTAGGTGTTACTGCTCCTGACATTCTCCCTTGCCAAACTGCCACAATCCTATCCCTGGTTCTTAAGAAGTCTACATTTTAAGACTTTTGCTCTTGCAGTTCCCTAACCTAAAGCATCTGTGCAAATATACCTTGCAGTAACATGAACTTACGGATTACAATAAAATGCACTGGCACAGTTTCTCCATAGCAGGCTCACTGAAATAATTTCATTATATATCCAATAATTGACTCAGCATTTTAACCAATAAGATTTCCTGAATGCCACGTAGAGTGGTATGGTTAATTTCACACTATTACTCATCCTCAGCACCAAGCACAAACCACCTCCTTGTGGCCACTTGACACGTTTCTTCTCTTCATAAACTGCCACAGGGGCTCCTTTGTACTGTTGTTAAGGGTGTTTGCCACTCAATGCCGGACTTTTCTGTTTACTATCTCAACTCACCAAACTAAGTTTCTAGGTGAAAGCGCACATTTCAGCAAATTCCAAGTATTGCTTCCCACACGGCAGACACATGATAAAAATGTTTAAGACTAAAAGAATACCTGAATCAGTTGATTCGGAGGAGCCCATTCTCTGCAGACTGCTATTCCTCACCTCCAGTGGCTGTTCATACTCACTGAAACCAAGAAAAGTAACTCTCTCTATAGCTCTAGGACATAATTAAAAGGTTACATACAGGAGACAGGCCATGACATGGCAAGTTGCCATGCTGCCATCAACCATCATTACTTTTAGGCCACACCACAGAACACTTGGCCACCCAGAACACCCAGTTAGCACTTGAGCATAAAAGGAGATGAGAAAAGAGTGGGTTAGCATGGTCTGGGTCACACTATAGGACAGGACGACAAAGATGACTATTGGAGTATTTCCTGAAATGAGAGCATGTGTTCTAGGTACTGAGCTAGGAGCAGGGGTGAATAGGACAAGTTCCTGTTTTTCAGAGGTTGGAAAAGACATGTGCTTATTTAGAAAATGTGACGTCCAAGATTGAAGAGAAAGCAGTTTCACCAGAAAAACGGTGGGATGCATTTTTTGCAATAAGGAAAAGAGTAGGGAAATTTGTGGCATGGAAAGTTGAATAAAAAGACCTGGTCTTAGGAAAGCATCGGGGTGGACATCAGGAAGGTGCACGGGGCGAGGGATTGCGACGATTTTGCAAACGCCAGGAAAGAAAATGCCACGTCCCTTTGCTGAAAAGGAAACAAAGCTCACAGGAAACTAAGCTCCTACGAGGTGGTTCAGCAAAGGGTGGAAGTGAGCGCCTAGGAGGGCCTGCTCTTCCCGCGTGGAGGGAGATTTCAAAGAGCTTCCTGGAATAGGGACAGAAGAGCACAGGGCAATCCGAAAGGGGTGGCGAAGGTGGGGAGTCGGGGCAGACCCCACCCCCTACCGGGCCCGGCTTGGGGCTGAGGGCGGCCCTGGAGGGTCCGGACGGCCTCTCCCGCCCAACATTCGGCCTGGCGGGGGGGGGGGGGCGGGTGCACATGGCGGGCCCCCGCCGGTGGGGCCGCCCCCAAGCGGTGGACAGGCAGGTCTCGCTCTTCTCCCGGCCGGTTTCCCGGCCCGATCTACCCGAAAGCCGTCTGGGAGGCCAGCGGCCTGAGGCACCGCTCTTCGGTCCCTCCTCACCTGCCCAGACCCTGCAGCTGGTCCATGGTGACCGTCAGGTTGGTGACAGGCGACAGGCCCCCGGCGGCTGGCGTGCTGAACAGCGCCTTCACGACGGGCTGCGGTGCGGGAGGGGGGCTGCAGGCGAAGAGCAGGCGGCGGCGGTGCGGGGGCTCCGGGCCCAGTTCCATGGCGGCGCCCTGCCTCCCAGGGATTCTGCTCCCTCTTCCTCCGCCTCTGCCGCGCCCGCCCCGCCCCGCCGGCACTGGCCTCGGCCGCGCGCCCCGCTGCCGGCGCCCGTGGGTCAAACACAAACACGACCCCGCGGTTCAGGGACGCGGCTGCCGCGGGCAAGCGAAGAGGACGGGCGGGTGTCCGGACTCGGCAGGCGCCAGCCACAGGCGCGAGCGCTTCCCCTCACTCCGCGAGGCCGGCGGGCGGGCGCCGGCAACCTGAAGATTAAATCCAAACAAGCGGGGCAGGTCTAGGAGGGAGAGCGGCTAGACCGCGAGGCCACGGCCCGGTCTCACACTCTCTTCACTCTTCTTTCACTCTCTTGCCCAGCCCGGGAGTGCTGAAAACCAGGCCGACCTTCACCTCCCTCCCGGGCTGTCGCTGCCGAGGTGGCCTTTCGCGCTAATAGCTGCTCACTAGGACCTGCCAATGCCCCGCCCTCCCTTGCCTAGTTGGCGCCAAATGGAATCCACCAATCAGTAACCAGTTCTCCTCCTCGCACAGGAATGGCAGCTAGGCTGGACCAATGAGAGGGGAAGAAGGAAGCAGCTCGCGGGGCTCCGCGAGGTCACCCCTCCTCAGAAAGGGGAGGGGCCTAGAGGGGACCTGAGCTCCTCTGAGCCAGAGTGGCTCGGAGGTCAATGAAAACTCCCAGCTGAACCTGCGAGGCGCCGGGTGAGACCGGAAGCCCCTCTTGACCCATTGCATGCTGGGAAGCGTAGTTCGCACAGCCAGCGGCAGTCCAGTCGCTACTTACCCCCGTTAGGCCAAAGGTATATCGGCCGCCCGTCCCGCGCTCCGCAAACTGAGGAAATGTGGAGGGTGGAGAAGGCTGTCCGGGCCCTTCTCCCACCCTGGGCCTCCAGGCCCTAATTTTATCGCGAGAGAGGGAAGTGAATGACCCAAGGACTGGGCGCTGCCTCCTGAACACCAGGGCCCAACTCTGGACCGCTGACTCCTGTCCAACAGGTAGTGCTGGCCATGAGCCGCTGACCACAAGACTTAACCCTACGGCCTGGACTGTGGGCCTCGGCATTGTTTGCTCACCTCCATTTTAGCTCTTGTATAATACTTTTCTCAGAATCATTTCCTTCTCTCCCACCCTTTCTTACCTCATTGGGATAGCAATACCGTAAATATAATAATAGCTAATGCTTATGAAGTGCTTAGGTTCCCGTGTTCCAAGGGCTTTATCTATTAATTCGTTTGATTCTTTTTTAAAAAATTTATTTATTTTTGGCTGCGTTGGGTCTTCGTTGATGCGCGTGGGCTTTCTCGTTGTGGGGAGCGGGGGCTACTCTTCGTTGTGGTGCACGGGCTTCGCACTGCGGTGGCTTCTCGTTGCTCTAGGGCGCAGGCTCAGTAGTTGTGGCACATGGGCTCAGTAGTTGTGGCTCACGGGCTCTAGAGCACAGGCTCAGTAGTTGTGGCACATGTGCTTAGTTGCTTCGCGGCATGTGGGATCTTCCTGGACCAGGGCTCGAACCCATGTCCCCTGCATTGGCAGACAGATTGTTAACCACTCTGACACCAGGGAAGCCCTAATTCATTTAATTCTTAAACAGTTCTATGAGACAGGAATTGTCCCCATTTTATAGATGACCAGATTTGTTGTTATATCCTCTGTACCAGTGGCAACTCCTAGAATGAATGATTTTATGAGAGAGGCAGAGGTACAGCAATCAGTCCTTAAGAGGACTTGTCTTTAGATAGCATGTTTAGAGCAAATACTCTTGATTATTTAGGTTGTATATTTATTTTAGGTGTCTGGTTGAGATTATGACCACTACCTCTGTTTTGGGCCTACCGTTAAATTCATTAAATATTTCTTTAAAAAGCTTTTGCTGGGGTGGAGGGATAAATTAGGAGGATGGGATTAACATATATACACAACTATATGTAAAATAGATAACGAACAAGGACCTACTGTATAGCACAGGAAACTATACTCAATATTTTTTAATAACCTGTCAGGGAAAAGAATATGAAAAAGAATGTATATATGTATAACTAAATCACTGTGCTGTACATCTGAAACTAACATAACATTGTAAATCAACTATGCTTCAACTAAAAAAATAAATAAAAAGCTTTTGCTTTCAAAGGTTTGTATTATGCAAATAATACAAAATAATTACAGCCTTAGAAAATACAGATAGTTATAATTTTAAAAAATCATCCATAATTCTACCATCTTCAAAGAATCAATGGTCAACATTTTGAACTTTTTGTATGGACATACACTATAATTATACAGTCAATATTTGTTTCATGGTTAAAGGAATGGAAAGTCCTTGCCCGAGCAGACATTTCCTGAATGGGATTTGCCCAAGTAGGTTGACATACTGAAGCATTTCCACCAGCAATCCAAGTATTGGAATGAAAACTGTGTCCGAAATGTTAGAGAACCTTTTTTGTTTTTCCTTTCTAAATGTTGTTGGGGACTTCCCTGGCGGTCCAGTGGCTAAGACTCCACGCTCCCAATGCAGGGGGCCTGGGTTCGATCCCTGGTCAGGGAACTGCATCCCACGTGCCACAACTAAGAGTTCACATGCCGAAACTAAAGATCCCACACGCAGCAACAAAGATCCCAGTTTGCCGCAACTAAGACCTGGTGCAGCCAAATAAATATATAAATTTAAAAAAAAAAAAAAAAAAAGGTTGATGAAAACTTTTTTTTTTTTTTTTAATGTTTGGGTCCATGGATTGTGAAATAAAAGCAAAAGAAAAGAAATAATTTAACCAAACCCTTTTCCCCATTCACTCAGGAATGCTCTCCAAAGTCCTGGAGCAGCTCTGGGGGGAAGGGAAGAGCCCTGCGCTGTGAATTGAGAGGTCTGAATTCTAATCTAGCTCTGCTTTGGGGCAAGTCGATTTTTGTTCACTCGTTCATTCAGTCTCTACTGTGAGCCTACCAATTTGCCAGATCCAAACAGACAGGGTTAATGCTTCCTTGGAGATTTGCCTGGAATACTCTTCTTCACTCACCTAACACCCACCCTTTTAAGAAAGCTCTACCCTCAGATACCGTCACTGACACATTCCCCTGTTACCATCCACATTCCAGGCACCACGTGTTTACACTGGTTTCTGTGATAATTTAATGCCCCCCCAAAAGATAATAAACTCAAAAGGATAGGGACCCCCCCCTTTCGTTTTCTCTACTCTAGTGCCTGATTCAGGGAAACCCTCAGTACATATAGATCGAATACATGCTGCAAAGAAAAAGTGTGACTGCTTTGAGAGTGTTTAAGAAGGGAATTTAATCTGGTCTGGTACCGTCAGGGAATCTCTGAGGAAGTGACCGGGAGGATAAGTCCTTAGGAGGTGGAAGAAAGCGTGTTCTGGGCAGAGGGACAGACCCTAAGCAAAATCTCTGAGGCTGGGAGGAGTCCCCCCCTCCCCACCTTGTGGCAGAGAACGAGGGGGAGGGGTTGTTGCAGAGGGCACAGACTCTGCAGGGGCTTGTAGACCACATTCTGCAAATTTATCTCAAGGGCAATGGGAAATAATTGAAAGGTTTACATTTATATTTGAAAAAGATAACCCTGGCTGATTTAATATTTTACATGTGCCCATTCTTCTTTCACCCACCTGTGCTGTTAGCCAGATTGGATTTATTCTGCATGGTTACCTGAGGCAGCGTGAGCCTCCCTGGAGGCTACAAGGTTTCAGATTAACACTGAAAAGGAAAGTCAGAACTAACAAAGCTTTCCAAGGTGGAATGAGCAGTCCACAAGTCTGTATAACCAGGGTCTTAGATGCTGTGGGGGTGAGGAGTACCTAGCATCGAGGGTTCCCAGATCCTAGTTCTACATTACAGTTATCTGGGGAGTTTTGACTTTTACTTAGTTATTTATTTACTGAGTTCGCAATCCATTTACATGGGACAAATTCAAATGATACCAAAAAAGGCCTAGACAAAATCTCCCTCCCATCCCTGTCTACCCTGTTCCCTCCCCGTTGGTCATCACTGGCCAGCTTTGTGTGTGTGTGTCTCCTAGAGCCTGTGTCTGTGCTAACAAGTGCATGTACATATTCCGCCACACATACTTTTCATTTTTCACAGACGGCAACAACATGTTATAAACACTGTCCTGAATCTCACTTTTTTCCACTTCATATATCTTGGAGTTGGTTCCATATTAACAGATAAATTTCCTCTTTTTTTTTTTTTTTTTTTTTAATTGCTACCAGTTTGGGGAGCTTGTTTGAAAATAGAGATTCTCTGGTCTCCCTTGGATATTTTGACTTCATAGGCTTGGTGTAGGGCCTTGCCTGGAATCTGTATAATCAGAAAGCTCTATGAATTGTTCTGAAACACAGGTTTGGGAACCACTTAACTGAATGACTTTTAAGGCCACTGAATTCCAGAGATCCCACACATTATTCTAATACATAATTTGTGTTTATCCTGGTTTGTGCTGGGTAACAAGCTCTGTAGGATGGTATTCTGAGCACAGGCTAAATCTTGTCTCATGGTTAAATGTCTGCTCTGGGATAACAAACTTTTCTAGCAGAAACCGCACCCCCACCTCTGCCCATTCTTTCGTGGGTGCTTCCTGAACAGTGAAACCCACCCCCAGTACTTTTTTGGCCTCCTGCGTTACGGCAGAGAACTCCCAAATTCCCGTTACTGATAGGAATATCTTGCCTGAATTCCTGCCCCACCTCTGAATTCACCTAGAATGGCACGCCGGCAACTCACAACTCTACTTACCTCAAGTCCACTTACTTCTCTTTCCTTCCTAACCGGACTTGTGACCCTGCCTAGTGCCCTTGGCAGGAAAAGGCACCGGCACCTTCACCTGCCTGTTCTTCCCCCGCTGCTGACCTGATCTGGCTGGACTCCCAAGCCCTTGACCCGTAAATGCTCTTTCTAAATGCAAATCTGATCTCCTCTCACCCTCTGTTTGAAGCCCTTTCCTGTACCCCCCAACTGCTTAAAGCAGGGGCTCCCATACGTTTTGGACCCATGACCTGGAACACACATATCAAAAAGTTTTCAATACATCATTTACTCAGTACTACCTGTAATACACTGTTTTCTCTTTTATTTTTGTGACTTAAAAATCCTAGCTATGAAAAAATTTGAAATTTTTAAAAAATCCTAGCTATGAATCCCTAAAATAAATGTGTTATGATGGCCTGTGATCTACACTTCGAAAAGCAGTGGCCGATAGGCTCAGTAAGCTAATAATGGTGTTCATCTCAAAAGCTGTATGAAAAAATAATGTGGGAATTCCCGGGCAGTCCAGTGGTTAGGACTCGGCGGTTTCACTGCCGTGGCCTGAGTTCAATCCCTGGTCAGGAACTAAGATTCCTCAAGCTGCTCGCAGAGCGGCCCCCCAAAAAAATCTCAGAAAAATTCCTTCCCATTCCT